TTCAGAAGAGAACCCAGAAGGGTCACACCTTAGCAGTATAACTTAACCAACCCTAGAATAAAGGCTACCCTAACCTACAGGTTGGCAAAATATGGCCTGCAGTTGGCTGGCTGTTTCTGTAAATAAAGTTTTATTGAAACACAGCAACATCACACAACTATATATTTTTTGTGGATGCTTTTGAAGATTTGAGTGGTCACAACAAAGACAGTATGCCCTGCAAGCCTAAAATATTTACTATCTGGCCCTTTAAGAAAGAAGTTTTTTTTACAAAGGTTAAAAATGAGCCTGCGAGGACACCTGGGTGGCTCAGTTGGTGAAGCATCTGCCTTCGGCTCAGGTCATGATCTCAGGGTCCTGGGATCAAACCCCGCATTGGGCTCCCTGCTCAGCGGGGACACTGCTTCTCCCTCTCCCTCTATTCCTCACCCCTGCTCATGCTCTCTCAAATAAATAAAAAATCTTAAAAAAAAAAAAAAACAAGGCTGCAAAGGATCAAGTTGATCCACAGGTGATTAAACCACTGAACAAAAATTAGAAAATTAAAAAAAATAATAAAAATTCAACACCCATTAAGTGAAGACGACAAAATCCAGACACTCAACAACATAACATTCACACTGTCAAACATCCCATAAAAAATTACTAGACATGTGAAGAAACAGAAAAATGTGACTTTAACCATGAGAAAAACCAGTCAATAAAAACAGACCTGCCAAACTATTCAAAGTGTGTATGTTAAATATGTAAAGCTTTTCATATATCAATCATACCTTTAAAAATTGGTTTTTAGGGGCGCCTGGGTGGCTCAGTTGGTTAAGCAACTGCCTTCGGCTCAGGTCATGATCCTGGAGTCCCTGGATTGAGTCCCGCATCGGGCTCCCTGCTCGGCAGGGAGTCTGCTTCTCCCTCTGACCCTCCCCTCTCTCATGTGCTCTCTCTCATTCTCTCTCTCTCTCAAATAAATAAATAAATAAAATCTTAAAAAAAAAATTTTTTTTTAAATTAAAAAAATTGGTTTTTAAAAAAGAAAGAAATAGGGGCGCCTGGGTGGCTCAGTCGTTAAGCATCTGCCTTCGGCTCAGGTCTTGGCCCAGGATCCTGGGATGGAGTCCCACATCAGGCTCTCTGCTCGGCAGGAAGCCTGCTTCTCCCTCTCCCACTCCCCCTGCTTGTGTTCCCTCTCTCTGTCTCTATCTGTCAAATAAATAAATAAAATAAGAAAGAAATATACTTGGAAGTAAACAAATAGATTCAGAAAAGATCTTTCAAAAAGCTATTATAAATATTTATGTTCAAAAACATAAAAAAAAATAAATGTAGTAAGAAAAATAGAAAGTATAAAATATAAATAAACAGAACTTCTTCACAAGGGAAATCTCTTAAGTGGAAGATTCACTAAAGGAAACTAAGATTAAATTAGACACCAAGGAAAAAAACACTTGAAGATAAAGTAACAGAAACTATCCAAATAGAAACATAGAAAGAAAAACACTGGCCAAAAAAATGAGCAGAGCCTCAGTGAACTGTGGGAAAATATCAAGCTAACATACATGTAATTGGAGTCCCATAAAAAGACAAAAGGAGAGCAGAAAAAAATATTTGAAGAATGAATGCCTGAAAATGTTCCAAATCTGATACAAACTATAAAGAAACAGTTCCAAGAAGCTCAATGAGCTCCAAGCAGAATACACATGAAAAATCCACACTAGAACAGATCATAATTAAGTTATTAAAAATCAAATTGCTGAATGGAAATCTTAGAAGCAGTAAAAATAAATAAAGTCACTTACATATAAAAAATCAAAGATAAGAACTATCACTAATTTCTCATCAGAATCAATTCAAGATGGAAGACAACAGGACAACATCCTTAGCGCTAGAAGAAAAAAGTCAACCTAAAATTCTATATCCATCAAAAATATCCTTCAAAAAAGGAGATAAAAGAGACATTTTCAGAGAAAAGGAATTGAGAAAATTCATCAGCAGCAGCCCTGCACTGTAAAACAACGTTAAAGGAAGTTCTTCAGGCAGGAGAGAGATGACACTAGATGGAAATCTGCATCTACATAAGGAAATAAAAGCAGTGGAAATGGTATGTACATGGAGTGACAATAAAACTCCTTCTCATGTCTGAAAATCTGTTTAATATAATCAATGGTTTAAATAATAATGACAATATGTTGTGAGGCTTATATCATGCATAGAAGTAAAATTTTTGACAATAGCACAAAGGACAGGAGGAAAAATACTTGCATCAGTTCTTACATTAAACATGAAATACTGTAATATTATTGGAAGTTCATTGTGGTAAGTTAATGAACAGGGTGAATACACTAAAACAATCCTTAAATACCAAAACAACAACAACAACAACAAAAAAACCCCTAAAAAATGCTTGATTATTCTAAAAGAAGACACTAACATAAGAGATGGCACAGACAACTAACAGCAAGAGGGTAAATTTAAATCCAATCATATCAGTAATTACATTAAATCTGAGTACTCTAAATATTACAGTAAAAAAGCAGAGATTGTCAGACTAGATAAAAAAAGCAAGAGTCAGCTTTGCTGACTTCAAGAAACCCACTCTAAATACAAACACAAAAATACGTTGAAAGTAAAAGAATGAAAAAGGAAAAAGATCCACCATGCAACAACTCATCGTAAGACAACTGGAGTGACTATCATAATATCAGACCAAGTAGACTTCAAAACAAAGAATATTACAAGAAATAAAAAAAGGGAGACATTTCATAACAGTGAAGGAGTCAGCTATTTTTAGAAAAACCTAAATGCATATGTACCAACAAATAACAGAACTTTAAAATATGTGAAGCAAAAACTGACAGACAGAAAGGAGAAATAGACAAATCCATAGCTAGAGTTGAAGATTTCAACATTCTTCCCTTAGTATTATCAGTCGCATAAGCAGAGTATCAGTAAGGATACAGAAGACCAACAACACTATCAACCAAGCTATCTGATTGACATCTACAGAACACTCCACCAAAAACAGCAAAACACGACATTCTTTTTTCAAGGGTATATGGAACATACAGCAAAACAGGACCACAAACCATAACACAAGTCTTAATCGATTTCAGAGAATTTCTATTATATGATATTCTCTGATCATAGCAAAATTAATTTAAAAATTGAAATCAGAAAGTTACCTGGAAAATCCCAAATTATTTGGAAGCTGAGAACATACTTCTACATAAGCTATGAGTCAAAGAAGAATCACAAAGGAAATTTTAAAATATTTTGAATGGAATAAAAATAACACAACATATCCAAATTTGTGGGATATGCTAAAACAGTAATTAGATTTAACAGTAATTAGAAGAAAATTTATAGCTTTAAATACTTATATGAGAAAAGAAGGAAAGTATGAAAATCACTGATCTAAGCTACTTTCACCTTAAAAAGCCGGAAAAAGAAAAGCAAAGTAAATTCAAGTACTGGAAAGGAAAAAATAAAACTATGAGCAGAAATAGGGGCACCTGGGTGGCTCAGTAGGTTAAGCATCTGACTCATGATTTGGGCTCAGGTCATGATCTCAGGGTCGTGAGACTGAGCCCTGCATAAGGCTCTGTGCTGGGCGTGGAGTCTAAGATTCTCTCCCTCCCTCTTCCTCTGCCCCTCCCCCCTCTAAAAAAATATATGAGCAGAAATCAATGATAGAAAACAAACAACAGAGAAAATATAAAAACCAACAAAACCAAAATCTAATTCTCTGTAAAGATCAAGACAAGATGAGAGAAGACATAAATTATTAACATTAGGTCTGGAAGAGGAATCATCAGTACAGATCCTACAACAGAAAGATGATCATGTATTATGAGCAATTTGATGTGAATAAATCTGACAACTTACATGAAACAACCAAATTCCTTGAAAGACACAGATTACCAAAACTGACTCAAGAAGAAATAGAAAGGCTGAATAGTTCCATAACTTTAAAGAAACTGAATACAGCATTCAACAATAAACTTAAAATAAGTACATTTTATTGTATGTAAATTATTTCTTAATAAAATTAACTTTGAAGGTTAAGAAAAAAATGAGCAAGATTAAACTATAGCGTCCAGGAATGCACATGTTGGGGACAACACTATAAAGAATGGAAATAAACACCACATACGTCTGGGTTGTGTTTACCTGGGGCAGAGGAAGGCGGTTATGGTTTTGACAGGTACATGAAAGTGCTTCTGATAGCAGTCAGTGACAGAGAAGGATGTGCCTGAGAGTAATTCATTAAACTACATGTTTGTTCTGCATGTGTATACTGCAAGATGGTATTTGGCGTTTTTCTTAAAAGTTTAAACACCAGGTTTAAGAACCAAAATTTCTCCCTTTTTTTGGTCAAGAACTGACTCTGAGATCTCCCCCTAACTGTCAAAACCATGTCCACGGACGCCACTGGGCACTTTACTGTTTTCACTGTACTCTAAAAATCACTTCTGTGAAGCAACACAGTAGCTTGGGGGATGAGGGAAGCAGGTGGGAGAAAGCTTTAAATGAAATATTCTGAAGTTCAAGGTAAATGATACATATATTTAATAAATGCAGTCATGCAACTTAATAACAAATATATCCAAAATATATATTTATACATAAAACAATGAACAGCTATATATTTAGCTGCTAAAGCGTGGCTTAGCCTGAACTGTCAATAAATATAGTGTCATTCAAGAGGCAGGACACACAGTGGCTAAGAGCATGGGTTGTGGAGTCAGACCGCCCAGTGCACACCCAGCTCTCCCACACAGGAGCTGTAAAACCTAGGGCCGGTCCTGCTCCCTGGGAACCCCGTCGGGCTGCCGAGCACAGCGGAGCTGGAGCCTGCACACGGAAAGCATGCAGAACTACACCCACCGCGGGCATGCAGGAAGCACTTCCTCGCTGTTAGCTGCCATTGGTGTTTCTAGATGCTAAGGAAATACTGATGCTAAGTAACCTTTGGGGAGAAAGAGACAAGGAAAAGAGCCTCTCACCCTCCTTTGTGCTTCTTTTTCTTTGGAGTGTCTTCCTCTGAGGTCCTCCTGCCACGACCCCGGGAGCCTCTTTTTTCTTTCTGACCTCGACCTTCTGAAAGACAATAAACACCCCAATTATCTTCACAGAATTCACTGAAGCAGGACACGAGTTACTCAAATATATTTACCATAATGTTCCTCACATATTTATCACCAAAATTCTTCAAAACTCCACAGAAAACAGTAACAAAATAAAGAAAAATTAACAGACTTGCTTTTTAACCCTCGTCCTCCAGAGCTTTCAAAGTCACTGCCCTCCATCTTGTCCTTCAGATCTGCTTCGAAGCGCGCCAGGTCTGCATCGAGCCTTCGAATGTGTTTATCCACCTACAGAGAAGGATGCTCACGAGTCTTATTTAAAAATGAAAGCAAAACACCTCAAGAATCACAAACACACTGGAAATCAACCAGGAAGTACTTTCTTGCCCTTTAATTGAGTTTTCAATTAAGAAAGCTCCTAAAACAAGGTCCACTATCTCAGTTTATGAAGGGTCTTTGTCCCCATGTTTTGAAACCTTAACAGAAGAAACCCTACTCAGGAAAACCACGACGGCAGGCAATAAGGAGAAATGGGGCTGTGAAATGCAATGGAATGGGGACGAGGACATATAATACTAAACCCTAATTTAACCCTAGTTTAAAAATCTGAAGAACGTACAGGTTCTCAGAGAAAAGGCCTCTAACGCTCTAGTCAGGACAAGATGGAAGAAAGAAGAGAAGGCAGTGGGGTCAAAGCATGGGGATGAGACAGTGACCACACTGCCCCAATGGAGGAGGCCCCCAGAGAGACGGCACACTCGGCCCCTCACCCAGTGGACTCACAACAGTCAACCCATTAACCCACACCATGTGTCACTGTCCAAAAGGAGGACTTCTCTATCCATCCTTGTCTGGAAACAAACTATAATCTCAAACTCTGTTACGCATCAGAGAGAATCTGACTGTCTTTGACAACTGATCAAACCTAACTTTTAAAAAGCAGGCTGCTTACTGTAAAGATTCAGCACTTCGGAGGGGCACGTGGGTTAAGCATCTAACTCCTGATTTTGCCTCAGGTCATGATCTCAGGGTCTTAAGATCAAGCCCCGTGTCAGGCTCAGAAAGGAGTCTGCTTGAGATTTTCCCTCCCCCACAACCCCATCCCCCATATACATGCACGCTCTCTGGCGCTCTCAATCTCTCTCTCTCTCTCAAGTAAATAAATCTTAAAAAAAAAAAAAAAATTCAGCACTTTAGGGCATCAAAACCCCAAATATAAGCATTACGTTCTCCTTTTAGAGTATTCTTTCTCGAATACAGCTTAATTCAGGTTTTTAAAAAATTGTTTTTTATTGGGGGAGGCAGGGAACGGAGTTAGGTGACAGTGTGTGAGGACGACAGAGCTTCCATCACTACACAACCTGATGTGCATCACGGGACAATGGCTCTGTGCCACCATGAGCCCCACACAAGACCTACTTGAGAGAAAACTGGACACAACAAATTCTAGGACTTTACCTAGAGCTGACAAAATAAGCATTAAAGAAATATATAAAAACTAAGAGCAAATAAAGTGTCCAAATATACAAGCACAAAGGGCATGGAAACCAGACTGCAGGACGGCCCCTGAGGAAGGACACCCCAACGCATGCCTTGTCTAGAAGCATCTCTCTGTCAAAATCTGACCCCACTTCAGATGCACCACTTCTCAGCAGCTGGTCCCTTCCCACGTAAAAGGGAGGAGCCTGGGCCCCCAGCTGCCCCCCGGGCCCCCAGCCCCCCACCTCCTCACCATCTCATAGGTCTGCATGGCCAGCTGCACCTTGTCATCACTGTACTCCTTACACTTGCTGTAGGCACTCTGGATCTTCTGCAGGTGCTCCACACGCTGGTCTGGAGAAAGTGTCTTCACTGTGGATATATACTCTGCAGCCAGGATGTCGATCTCTGCCTTCTTATCTGACAGAGAAATGGGGGAAAAGCTAGTCCCTGCAAGAGATTCCCTGATAACAAGTAAAGCTGAACAATGCCAAGTTGCGGGGCGCCTGGGTGGCTCAGTCGTTAGGCGTCTGCCTTCAGCTCAGGTCATGATCCCAGGGTCCTGGGATCGAGCCCCACATTGGGCTCCCTGCTCCGCGGGAAGCCTGCTTCTCCCTCTGCCACTCCCCCTGCTTGTGTTCCCTCTCTCTCTCTCCCTCTGTCAAATAATAAAATCTTAAAAAATAACAAAACAAAGAATAAAGCCAAGTTGCAGCAAAGAAGTGGCTGACTCAACACGGAGGCACCGCTGGTGGGAGCACGGTGGGCACGGCCTTCGGCAAACAGCCCAGCACCAGGGGCCGTGCGGACACCACAGCTAGGACAGCACACCCAGGACGTGACAGTGTTTTTAAGTGCCCTCCCAGAAAGTACGCATGCTGACCTCTCTGACTCCCCACAGTCCCTGCTGGAATAGCAAGTTATGAGCTCACCTTAGCTACAACCTGGCATACTAGTCCTCAGTACACACACCCTAGATTTAGGATACATACAACATTCATAAATGCAGACAACAGGAAACGAGCCAAATGTGCAATCCACAATAAAACAGACCAATAAGCTGTGGTCCATTCACACAGCAACCAAAACGGCACAACAACTATTATACACAGCAATGTGAGTTAAATCCCACAGAAAGCGGCAGTGAGCCAGAAAAGCGAGACACAAAGGACAACGTACTGTGAGATCCCACTGATATTAAGGACGGACACATACAACTGTGAACTCTTTGGTTTAAGGAGGTGAGAAAACTTGTTGTAGGGGAAAATGAGGGTGGGAGCCCCTTGCAGGGAGGGGCAGCATGCTCAGCAGGCTTACACAGGGCCCCAGGCGCCCGAGGCCCCACTTCTCCATCTAGGGAGAGGTTTGCAAGGTGCTGTTTGTTGGGCAATTTACAAACACTTGTGCTTATTCCTGAATGTAAATGCTGTATTTCATAATAACAGAACTCTCTGTATCTGCTAGTCAGGAGACTGTAGCTCAGTGAAAAACCACAGCTATTCTGATCTTACAAAACCTGTGGCAGGCACAATGAATGAAAAATCACCCACACCCAAGCACATCGCCACAAAACATAAAACCTCAGGGACAAAGACAGCAGTCCAGAGGCTGCCTAACAGGAAAGGCAAGAAGACCACAGGTATACGGGCGCCTGGGTGGCTCAGTCATTAAGCGTCTGCCCTCGGCTCAGGTCATGGTCTCAGGGTCCTGGAATCAAGCCCCGCATCGGGCTCCCTGCTCAGTGGGAAGCCTGCTTCTCCCTCTCCCACTCCGCCTGCTTGTGTTCCCTCTCTCGCTGTATCTCTCTGTCAAATAAATAAATAAAATAAAATAAAATAAAATAAAATAAAATAAAATAAAATAAAATAAAATAAAATAAAAAAAGAAGACCACAGGTATAAAGGATGAGGAATCAGATCTCTCAAGGGCCACAGGGACGCTGGGAGACAAAGCAGCAGTGCCTTCCACATGCTGAGGGAAAATGATTGTCAAGCTGGAATTCTATACCCAGCCAAACTGTTCATCAACTATGAGACCAGAACAAGCATGTTTTCAGACATATGGCATTAAGAAATCTACCTTCCCATGTACTGTTTTTTCAGGAAACTACTGGAGGAAAGGCTCCACTACAACAAGGGATCAAGAGAAAGGATGTTTACAACACAGGAATCAGGGTCCTGCCCGAAAGATGAGCAGAGGCAGTGCCTGTGCCGCAGGCCTGGAAACAGTCAGCCTAGACAAGACCCACAGGACAGGAGGCTCCAGGGGAAAGGTCTGAATGTGCAGGGCAAACTTAGGACTGGCAGATCACCTGGGGCAGCAGACACAATGAAAACGTGCAACGTGTATGGAACGTGGAAAACAAGGCAATTATGAGCTCTAAGAAAAAGTTATTCCAAAAAGGTCTCGTAAGCATAGCATGTGATGTGGCCCAGCTGCAAACCACCTCCACAGGAGTCCTGAAGGAAACGCCATCCCAGGTCTACGGCAGACTCAGATTCTAAGCCCAGACACCGGGAGACGCGGGGGGAGGGGGGAAGCAAACCTTCATATTCCACAATAACAGAATAAAGTCCAAAGCAAAAGGGAAATACAGTAATAAACAGCAGCAAAAACATGATGTTTAGAAACAAGGAGCTAAATACCAGAAGACCGCAAAGTGCTATCTGTTTAAACCACGTATACACAGTTTGAAACCAGAAAACCTTTTAAAGGAAAGGAAAGGTAACGAGGAATGCACAATGGTTGTAAAGATGCTACAGGAAGCTGTGCTAGAACCCAAAAAACTAAGTCGAATTTTAAAGTGTCAGCATTGTCCGTAAGACGGGGCCACCTCTCCCCAGCTGTCAGAGCCCACCTCGGGCTGTACTAAAGAGCCCGGACCTACCTTCTGTCCTCTGGTCCAGCTCTCGCATGAGCTGGAAGTTCCTCTGAAGCTCACATGGAAGGTTCTCAATGCCTGAAACATAGAGACGTGTACTTCTCAGTAGCAGGATAAAACCTGCCTTCCAGACTTTACACCTAAAGTCTACAAAGAATAAGCTCCCTTCATTTTCTGTTTCTGTTAGGATTTGAGGAACAGAAGGATTAAGGTAAGTCTTTGGGGGAGACAGGCTTCAGATGGTGTTGGAAGCTGGAAAAGTTAGAGGAGGACTTACCCTCCAGCTGCAAGCAGAGGCCGGGAAGGTGGCCCTTGTGACTCTTCCATCCCGGCCCTTGTGACTCTTCCATCCCACACCCCCAGCCAGTCCTCCCCTCTCAGTACCCCCCAACAGTGGGTAAGACCAAAGCCCTGGGGTCTCTTTACTCTGATACCCAGTTCATGGGGTGGTGCCGGCCAGTGCTGTGTGGTAGACTTCATGCAAGGAGACATGGTCTGAGCTATACAATACAACAGCCATTGGCCACGGGGCTGCTGAGCACCTGAAATGGGGCTACTACGACTGAGGGACTGAACTTTTCCTTTGCTCAAGTTTCATTCATTTCAAGTTACACAGACCATGCTGGTCAGCACAGGTCAAAGACCCCAGCCCACACTGCTTTCCCCACTGCACTGCCGTGCTCCTACTCCAGGCCAGCCATCCAGCCTGTCTGCAAGCTTACAGCTGCCCAGCTCACCCAGAGAATGGCACACATGCCCTCCCCAGCCTCCAGGCTCACCACAGCCTCCCCAAGGACCTCCCTGTTCTGTCCTATCCTGGGTTCTGCAGGACAGTGCCACCCCAGGTCTCTCACAGCCTGCTGGGCTCCTTCATGCCCCTTAATCTGCTGTGAACTTTTAAAAAGTCCATTTACCCCATTTGAAAGTAAGTTCCAGGAAAATGAGGACCGAGGCTTAGCACACAGCAGGTGTTCAAAACTCAAGCAGGCACCTCCATTCTGAGCCTGCACACAGGTGCCCCGTGCACGATGGAACTCACAATCCTCAAAGTGTCTTCATAGGGCTCACTGGGCAGGTACCAGGACAAGAAGGGCAAGCCACAGTGCTCCCCAGCAGACAGGTCAGCGCAGTAAAGACACGGCAGGAAAGGGCCTCCCCTCCTCAGTGCTCTCTCACCGGGACCCCCCCATGGCTCAGGCTGAACCCCACCATCTCCCCCAGGGCAGGGGCTCACTCCCCACCGTCAGCAGCTGCAGGTACCAATGCCCGGTTATATTCCCACTGCAATAGAAAGCTCCAGAGCACCCAGCCCAGCCCCCCCCCAGCCGCCCCCCCCAAGGCCGTCCACAGCCAGAGCCAGATCAGCAGCGTTCAAACGTGGGCTCTCCGCTGTGGAGTGCATGACCTTGACAAGCTACTTGGCCTCCACGGCCTGCATTCTCCCACCTGCTCAGAAGTTCTCAGGACGCCCCAACCTGAGCTACATGTAGGCAGAAGGATGCCTGCAGGAAGAGTCTCCCAGACGTCTTTCCGTGGTGACCATCACTGCCCTCAACACCTGGACCAGCCCTGACAGTCCCCTCCTACCAACGCCACGCGGAAGGACAGGCACCCTAGGAGACTCTCCCCGCCAGTACTGGCTCGCCCAACTCCCAGGTCACCGCACGAGCAGGCACAGAACCCCGGCCGGAGTCCCCCCCACATCCCGGACCCGGAGCCCCCCAGGACCAGCCCCGCGTCCGAGGAGGTTGGGGCTCGAACACAGGAGCCTGACTGCGCGGTGGGGGCGGGGCCAGGGCGGGGCCTAAGGCGGGGGGCGGTGCCAGGCCGGCGGATCGGGGCTGTGAGGGGCGGAGCGGGGCCGTGAGGTGGGCCTTGCCCGGGAGGGGCCGAGGGCGGGGACGGCGGGGCGGCCGCTGAGGCCAGGGCCGAGGGCGGGGCCTAGCCGGAGAGGGCGGGGCCGTGGCACGCAAGCCCCGCCCCGTGCCCACCAGCCCCCGCCCCTCCGTGACGCACCTGGAATTGGCGCGGCCGTGACGGTGGGACCCCGCGCCGCGCCCCCCGCGCGCACCTCCTTGCGGCCCCGCCCCGCCCGGCGCGCGCCCCCCGCCGCCCCCGCCGCTGCCGGACCGCCCTTGCCACCCCCACGAGCCCTCGGGGTCCGCGCGCGGCGCCTGGTGCCCGCAGGGTGGGCCCGTGTGGGGAGACCCTGCGCGGGCGCCGGGCCCGAGGGCCGCGAGGGGCGCTTACTGTCCAGGTAGTGCTCCAAGTACATGGCGGTCGCCATCTTCGTCCGCGGCCGCGCTCTAGGTCTGCGCGGGCGGGCGGGGCCGCGAGGGGCGGAGGCGGGGCCGGCGCGTTCACTATTAATGAACCTCGGGCGCTGATTGGTCCCCTCGGTGGGGCGGGGCGCCGTCTGGACATGCCCCCCGGCTTCCGGTCGGAGGGCTGCGCGCGGCGTCGCGCGGGAGCGGGGTCCGGGCTCGGGGGCGGGGTTGAGGGCCCCGCACATCCTGGACGCACGTCCCTGCCCGCGTGGCCGGGGCCCGGGCTCCCGCCCCACTCCCCGGCAGCTGCTCTGGCGGGAGCAGGTGCGGGCGGGTGTGACGAGCGCGGTCCCGCGAGCGCGCGCGGAGGCCCCAGCGCCCAGCGGGGCGGCCGGCGACGCACGTGCAGGTGGAGCGCGGGGCTCGGGAGAAGGGCCTGCGCCCCTGAGCTTCAAGGCCTTCCTCCCGCTGCTTAACACACCCTGACCAGTGGAGTAGCAGTGTCGTTATTAAAGATGGGTGTTTAAACATACAGTCCCTCTCGTGAGCTCTCCCCTAAACCTGCCCTAGTCTAACAAATGGAAGCACTGCTTTTGCCAATTTTACGTTCACTGAGAAAATTCAAACTACATAGGAACTTACAGTTTCCCCACCTCCTCCGGATACAGATCTGTGACCCTTGTTCACCTTTGAATCTGAATGTTAGCAGTTTGGGTGCATCCTTTCTGGCCTCCTTCACTGCTTGGGAAAATGCACATATGCACAGGTACGTAATTGCACACCACCGACCTTTGGGGCTACGTTGGTTTTTTTTTTTTTCTTTTAGCTAAACAGACTTTATTTTTTAGAGTAGTTTTAAATTTACGAAAAAACTGAGAAGTGGAGTTCCTGTATACCCCTAAACACGTGCGCGCGCGCGCACACACACACACACACAAACAGCCCCATTACAAACACCTTGCACTAGTGGTACATTTATTATAACTGATGAAATAATATTGGTACATTATTATTAAAGTCCATAGTTTACATTAGGGCTCACTCTGTGTTGTACATTCTATAGGTTTTGACAAGTGTATAATGACATGTATTCAACATTACAATATACAGAATAGTTTCTCTGCCCCCCAAATCCTGTGCTCCACTTTTTATCCCTCTCCCCACTCCCCACACCCCTGACAAACACTGATCTTTTTACTGCATTTTCCCTTTTCCGGAATGTGGTAGAGTTGGAATCACACAGTGTATGCAGACTTTTCAGACTGGCTTCTTTCACTAAGTAAAATGCATTTAAGTTTCCTCCATGCTTTTTTGTGGCTTGATAGCTCATTTCTTCTTAACGCTGAGTAATAGTTCATTGTCTGGATGGACCACAGTTTACCCATTCACCTATTGAAGGACTTCGTGGTTGTTTCCAAGTTTTGCCAATTATGAATAAAGCTGCTGTAATCATTTGTGTACAGGTTTTTGTGTGGACATGTTTTTAATTCCTTTGGTTAAATACAAAGAAGTGTAAGACTGTCTAGGTTTGTAGGAAACCACCAAACTGGCTTCCAAAATGGCCACATGATTTTGCATTTCTACCAGCAAAGAATAAAGAGTTCATGTTGCTGGGCGCCTGGGTGGCTCAGTCGGTTAAGCGGCTGCCTTCAGCTCAGGTCATGATCCCAGGATTCTGGGGTCGAGTCCCGCATCGGGCTCCTTGCTCAGCAGAGAGCCTGCTTCTCCCTCTGCCTGCCTGCCACTCCCCCTGCTTGTGCTCTCTCTCTCTCACTCTCTGTCAAATAAATAAAGTCTTTAAAAAAAAAAAAAAGAGAGAGTTCATGTTGCTGCACATTCTCACTAGCATTTGGTGTTGTCAGTGTTCTGGATTTTGACCATTCTGATAGGTGGGTAAAGACATTTCATTGTTCTATTTGCAATTCCCTAATGAGCACCTTCTTACAAGTATACTTGCTATCTGTACATCTTCTTGGGTGAGGTGTCTGTTCGTAACTTTTGCCCATTTTTTATTTTTTTAACTTTTTTAAAAAGGTTATTTTTATTTAGAGAGAGAGAGAAAGTGGGGGGTGGGCAGAGGGGAAGCAGACTCCCCACTGAGTGTGGAGCCCAATGTAGGGCCAGATCCTGAGATCACAACCCAAGCTGAAACCAAGAATCAGATGCTGAACCAATTGAGCCACCCTGGCACCCCATAACTTTTGCCCACTTTTTAAATTGGGCTCTTGGTTTTCTTATGTGAATCATACTATCCACTTTTCTACTATTTACATTTTTAACTTAATACTCTTCACAAACATCTGACCATGTTTTACTCAATTCTACTTCATTCTGTTTACTAGATATATTTCATTGCATTGGTGTGCCATACCTTAACAATAGATGTACAGTGTTTTGATTGTTTCCAATTTTCATTAGCACAAATAATGCCCTGGTGAACATTTATTCATATGGCTGTACTTATCTGTGTGTTCCAGTTATTTATTGTTGCATAATAAGCTACCTGAAAACAATTGCTTAAAAGAACCATTTTATTGTCACTCAGAATTTTTGAGTCACACATTTCAGCGGGGCTCAGCCAGGTGATTCTTCTGTTCTATGTAATACTATAGAGGCACTGGGGTGGCTGGAAGGTAGCATTTAATTGGCATTATGGATCAGGATGCCTACATGGGACCTCTCCTGCACAGCAGTCCCAGGTAGTGGTACTCTGTTCATGGCCATGCAGGGTTTCCAGAGAGTTTCAGGAAGCCTCGGTAGAAGCTGCGATACTTGGGAACACTCCTGGGTAGTCGACATCTCATTACATTTTATTGGTCAAACAAGTTGTTGGGGACAACCAGATTTGAGGGGAGGGGAATTAGACCCACCTCTCAATGGGAGGAGTAGCAAGGGTTGAGGCCATCTCTAACTTACACCGTGTCCTATTAGTTCTTTGGGATAAATTCTTAGAAGTGGAATTGCTGGGGCACCTGGGTGGCTCAGTCAGTTAAGCATCTGCCTTTGGCTTGGGTCATGATCTCCAGATCCTGGGATTGGGCCCTGTGTCAGGCTCCTTCCTCAGTGGGGAGTCTGCTTCTCTCTCTCTCTCTCTCTCTCTCCCTCTGCCCCTCCCCACAGCTCATTCCCTCTCTCTTTCAAATAAATAAATAAATAAATAAATAAATAAATAAATAAATAATAAATAAATAAATAAATAAAATCTTAAAAAAAAAATGGAATTGCTGGGGGTGCCTGGGTCGCTCAGTTGGTTAAGCATTGGACTCCTGATTTCAGCTCAGGTCTGGATCTCAGGGTCGTGGGTGAGATCAAGCCCCACATCAGGCTGGGTGTGGTGCCTGCTTAAGATTCTCTCTCCCTCTGCCCCTCCCTGCTCCTCTCCCTCTCAAAAAATAAAAAATAAAAATGGAATTGCCAGCTCAAGAAGCATTGCATGTTCTAAGAGCTGATACTTTTAAATGAATTGCCCAAGGAAAAAATTATACCAACTGACACTCCACTAAGTATGTTTTTACACTTTGTCAACCCTAGATTTTGTCAGGCTTTTTATCTTTACTAACTTGATAGAAAAAAGAAATAACCAAAAAACCAACCTGTGTTTTGATTTGTATTTCTTTGATTTTAAGTGAGGCTAAACATATTTTTCCATATCCACTGGCTATTTGCAATTCTATCATTTTATGTCCTTTACCCATTATCTATGAGAAAACTGATCTTCATGCCTTCATCTAAAAAAAAACATTAGAAATCAGAGAGGGAGACAAACCATGAGAGACTCGTGACTCTAGGAAACAAACTGAAGGTTGCAGAAGGGAGGGGTGTGGGGGATGGGGTAACTGGGTGATGGGTATTGAGGGCACGTGATGTGGTAAGCACTGGGTGTTATACACAACTGATGAATAATTGAACACTACATCTAAAACTAATGATCACTATATGTTGGCTAATTTAAATAAAAAAAAGTTAAGGGGCGCCTGGGTGGCTCAGTCAGTTAAGCGTCTGCCTTCGGCTTGGGTCATGATCCCAGGGTCCTGGGATCGAGCCCTGCATCGGGCTCCCTGCTCAGCGGGAAGTCTGCTTAAGCTCCCCCTGCTTGTGCACTGGTATGCACTCCCTCTCTCTTCTGACAAATAAAATCTTAAAAAAAAAAAAAAAAGTTAAGGCTAATGGCCCTTCATATATCAGATATTGAGAATAACTTCTTCCAGATAGCAGTTTGTCTTCTTTCATTCACATAAGGAAACTGATTAATTCTCTTAGGAAGACCCTGTTCTAGAAATGACCAGAAAGGATTCCTTTTATTGCAATGTTAAGAGCAGGGTTTCTGGGGCACCTGGGTGGCTCAGTCGGGTAAGTGTCTGCCTTCAGCTCAGGTCATGATCCTGGGGTCCTGGGATCGAGCCCCATGTGCAGGGAGCCTGCTTCTCCCTCTGACCCTTACCTGGCTCGTGCTCTATCAAATAAATAAATAAATAAAATCTTAAAAAAAAAAAAAAAAAGGCAGGGTTTCTCAACCTCAGGACTGTTGATATTTTGGGCCAGGAAACTCTTTCCTGGGGCGGGGGGGGGGGGGCGGTAGGGTTGTCCTGTGCCTTATAGGATGCCTAACAACATCCCTGGCTTCTACTCACTAGATACAGTTAGCACCCCCCAAATTATGGCAATCAAAATGTCCACTAACTGAGCAGTGCTTTAGGGGAAGGCTAAGCTAGTATAATATAAAGAAACCCAACCAAAATCCAGTGGCTTAGAAAAGAAAGAATTTTATTTCTCGTGCAACAGTCCCAACATGATTAGTCCAGGGGGTGGCAGCCATGCTCCACGGGGTCACTCAGAGGCCCAGATTCCTTCCAGCATGGTGTCTGCCCCCAGGGAATTTTGTCTTCATCAGCACAGTCACGGCCAAGATTGCAATAAGGGGGAGCCATAGGTAAAGGGAGAGCACGGTCTGCTGTCCGAAGAAACACACACCGCATCTACTCACATTTCATTGGCACTCGGCTACGTCGCCACCTCTAAGTGCGAGCGGGGCTGGGAAAAGAAGTCTAGTAGGGCACTCATGTGCCCAGCAGACTCTTGTGGAAGCAGGTGAGTGCTATGGACTGAATATTCCCCTAAGTTCATAGGTTGAACCCTAACCCCCAATGTGACGTTATTTGGAGAGGGAATTAAGAGGAAGAAGAGACACCAGAGACTCCTCTCTACACCTGTATGGTACTGGTGTGGTTGGGAGTCCTGCGGTCTGTGGTGTTTTGGTATGGGAGCCTGGCCACCACAGTCAGGAAGACTTCGCTGACACAATCCTGTGAGGCGGGAGGTACAACACACTTGAGGAACAGGGAACGGTAAAAGGGTTTGAGAGTCTTTTTTTTTTTTTTTTTGTCAGAGAGGAAGCATAGCAGGGGAAGCAGCAGGCAGAGGGGGAAGCAGGCTCCCGGCTGAGCAAGTAGCCCGACATCGGGTTCGATCCCAGGACCCTGAGATCATGACCTGAGCCGAAGGCAGACGCTTAACGACTGAGCCACCCAGGCGTCCCTTTTTCATTTTTTTAATGGACAATCCTAAACACGTTAAGAGTAGGGAGGCCCTAAGGAGCCCCGTGTGCTCATCAGCCAGCTTTGGCAATTAGCACCTTACAAACCATTTTATGTCCCCTCTGTCTCCAAGCACACTTAGACCCAGAACCCTGTAATTTCCTCCACAAGTGGGAGGCTTCCATGGTGCTGTGAAGAGATCCTGCTTGCACTGCTCCAGGGCAGACCGTGCTGACAGTCAGGCCTGAGACCTAACTGTCCATGCAGCAGAGCAGAAAGGAGACTGAAGGTCCAGGTGCAAGAGTGCGCCTCTGCCCATGGCGGGGCCATGAGATCAGCACTGGATACGTGGAGATGCTGAAGTCACCCTGTGACCATGAAGGAAAAGCTAGAACTGCTAAAATGTGGACCTGACCTTTGACATCACCAATCAGCGGAAGCAGTTCCTGGCTGCCCAACTCTGGACTTCGAGTTATGTGTGATAACGAAATATCCTGATGATGTAAGCCAGTTAGGCTGGTATTCTGGTACTTGCAGTTAGTGTCATTCTGATATAAGAGGCAGGACATGTTGGACCACACGGAAGCAAACTGCTTGTTGTACCTTAATAACAAACATCACCATACTTGTGCTAGTTGAGCGACTGCTGCAATCAAAAGGGCACTCCACCACCACCCAGCATACAAGGCTCCAACAGCCAGGTTCCTGCATTTTTACAGGCAACCAGGAAGGCAGTGCCTTCACAAGCTGATGCGCCATATTACGTGTTCTCCCCGTTGCCCGGTGAGCTCATCCTACAGATGTGCTGCAAGGCTGTGCTGGCACTTGCCGAACCCTGGGGAGGTTTTCTTCTCCATTCTAATTCTTCCATCCTTTGAAGGCTCAGGAGATGGACATTTTAGAACAGGAGACATCGAGCCAAGGGCTACTGCCTCCCTACCTATGACAACATTAAGCACTAGCTTTTGTATCAGTGAGCCTTCCCTAGGTCATGCTGCAGTAACAGGGGGTCCCAGAGTCTCCGGGAGGAATTTGGAATGCCGGTGGTTTACTTCTTGCCGTGCTACCTATCAGTCGCAGTGGCTGTGGCCTGGCCCTGGCTGTATTTCCTTCACTGGAGATCCAGGATGAAAACACAGCCCTAATTGTGTATATGCTCTTCTCACATGGCGGGGAGGGAGGGGATGGGCGAGCCACACAACAGCTGTGATTACCACAGCTTCTGGAAGTCGCACAGCCAAGATCAACATCAAGGAAGGAGGCAAATACTCTGGAATAATATTATAATCTATCACCCTTCCAGAACCCAAAACCACATCAGGCAAAGGTCGGTTGGGGGAACACAAAGCCACTCTAGCTAGCTATCTTGGGGAGTCACGTTCTCAGGGGCTCGTGCAAACACGGAAGTGGAGGAGGAAAGGTCGGGGAGATCGCCGCTGCCGCTGTCCACCCGGGAAGCGTCCGCAGGCTCCGGCGCTGCAGCAGTGAGGCAGGTGCTCTAGAGAGCTCACGAGGAAACAGTCCACCACAATTCCGGCTGCAACTGCCTCCAAACCTCGTACGCGGGCCTGCCACCCGCAAACTCGGACCCGGCTCCGGGGGGGCACTCTGAGACACGGGGCTCCTAGCTCGTCATGACCTGTCTGTGCCGTCGCAAACCCCGCAGGTTCAAGTGCTGCCCCCCCCCCCCCCGCAGTGGGATGGCAGCTGGGCATGGGCCCTGGGGAGGCCGGGAGGCCGGGCCCGCGCAACAGCGCCCGCTCCAGGGGCGCACGGTCTCACCTGAAACACGCCCAGTCGGCCCGGGCGCCCCTAAGATAGTAACAGCCCTTATGAGCAAGCGCCTCCCGACGCGACGGTGACCCCCATCGGAGGAGTCGGGCACGGGGGGCGGCACGACGGCCGCCCTCCCTCTCCCGGAGTCTGCCCACGTCGTCTCTGACCCTGCAGTCCAGCCTTGGGACAGCGACAGCGACACGGCCTTCCCGGCACGGTCGAGTCGCCCGTGTGCGCACGGCCCCGCCCCCGCCGCAGGACTCCGCCCTCGAGGGAGCGGGGATGTCCGCCCCCGGCCAGCGCCACGCACCCCCACGCAGCCCCTCGGCCTCCGCGCCCCCCGCCCACAGTACCCGCCGCCAGCTCTCCCGGCCCGGAAGGCGGTGACTCCGCCGGAAGGGGCGGGGCGACCGTGCCGCCTTCGCCTCCGCCCCCGGGCCGATACCAGCCAATCCGGGCAAGGCCGGAAAATAGCAGCCAATCCCAACGTGCGGCCCCCTGTCGTCAATTCCGGAGCGCGCCGCTGCCGCTCCCCTATTTCACCCCGTCCCAGGGCGCCCCGCGGACAGGTCCATTTCAGCCAATCCCGGCGCGCGCCGCGGACGCCAGCCAATGGGAGCCCCGAGCGGCGCTGGGACGCGCGGTGGCGGCGGGCGGCGGGAAAGCGCGAGGATGGCGGGCCGGCGCGGGGCCCTCATCGTGCTGGAGGGCGTGGACCGCGCCGGCAAGAGCACGCAGAGCCGCAAGCTGGTGGCCGCGCTGTGCGCCGCGGGCCACCGCGCCGAGCTGCTCCGTTTCCCGGGTGGGTGTGGCGCCGGCGGGGCCGGGGCCGGCTGAGGACGCGCGGGGTGCGCACGCTGGCCCGGTCGGGGCGCCCCTCTTTCCGGTGGGGCTGCGTCACGAGGTGCGGACTGGGTCTGTGCCCCCGCTGCCCCCCAGCGGGCTCCCGGTGCGGTCGTGGCGTCCGTGCGGGTTTCGTACCAGCGCTTAGGCTACCCAGAGTCACCTTCAGGCTTGCGGAACGGGTAGGGAACTGCGGGGAGGAGGTTTCTGGCTGTTCGGCCTCGTCTTGAAGCCGGCCGGTCCACCAAGCCCACCGGCGCTGCGTTTGAGGTGCGGAGTTGTACCTCCCTTCCCTCTTCTCGAAGCGTTTCTCATCCCTGTGTGTCTGCGCCTTGTGCCCGTTCCCAGGGAAGGCCCGAACCGTGTGGAGACATCCCGAAATAAAACTCAGAAGACTTGAGTTCAGCCCGAACTATATTCTAATTGAGGTGGAAAGCCTGCCCTTACTTTTGTATTTCTTTCTCTTTTTTTTTAGAAAGATCAACCGAAATTGGCAAACTTCTGAGTTCTTACTTGGAAAAGAAAAGCGAGGTGGAGGACCACTCGGTGCACCTACTTTTCTCCGCGAACCGCTGGGAGCAAGTGTAAACACTACGTTTGTGCTCCACCCCTCCACCCCCCACCCCCACCCCCCGTGCTTTGCCTCTTGCTTGAGATTGGGCGAATGCAGCTCTTGATTCGGAATGGCGTTGGCAGTAATGCCAGAGGCTGGACCTTTGCAAGCACCCGTCGTGTCCCCCTTAACCCCAGTCTTAGAGCTCTGGTTCCCGAAGAGCAGGAATTGATGCTTTTTCTTCCTGCCCTGACACCTTTTTGTAATTAGTAGACTTTATTTTGTAAGGTCGTTTTACATATATGGAAAAGCTGGTGATAAGTACAGAGTTTCCCCCCTACCCCGTCCCTCCCTCCCGCCCCCAATTTCTCATATTATTTGTCTTAGATTAGTGTGTTACATTTGTGACAGTGGATGAACTGATGCTGACACATTCTTTTTTTAAGATTTTACTTATTCGGAAAAAAGAGAGGGTGGGGGGCGGGGAGCAGAGGGAGAGGGACAAGCGGACTCTGCTGAGCACGAGCTAGATGCAGCACTCCATCCCAGGACCATGAGATTATGAACTGAGCCCCCAGGTGCCCCATGTTGACACATTATTAACAGAAGGTCACAATTTACTTTTTCCCTGCCCCTTTTGTTTTACATATTCTTCTTCTACCTCCTCACTCAACATTTTTTTTTGACAGAGACACAGCGAGAGAGGGAACACAAGCAAGGGGAGGGGGAGAGGGAGAAGCAGGCTTCCTGCTGAGCAGGGAGCCCGATGCAGGACTCGAGCCCAGGACCCTGGGATCATGACCCGAGCCGAAGGCAGACGCTCAACAACTGAGCCACCCAGGTGCCCCCTCACTCAGCATTTAACTGTGATCAAGTGCCTGTGGCCTGTGCTTTTAGATGATTTTGTTTCCATTTATATACACACATGTCATTGGCGTAGTTTTGTGTAACATAAATAAATGGGATCCTCCCATACAAACCATCTCGTAATTGGCTTTCTGATTGTGCCTTGCAAAGGTCTGACTTTCCAGTCGGTCTGGGGTGCTCTGCAGAAAGGCTGTCCGCAGTAGATTCAGCCAGATACCTGTTTGTGGTTTTGCACTGGCCCCTCTTACAAGCAAGCCTGCACTGCTTTCTTTTGGCTTAGCTGTGTCTGGTTTGGAAAGGCCTTCCCGCTCCCAAGAACAAGAAGAGAATGAGATCGTTTTTATAATCTTTAACACATCTGGAATTTATGGACATAATTGTTCCAATTTGGTTTTTGTGGCTTTGTAGAAAAATAAGGTAGGTCCACTTAAAAGTGGAGAGTAATGCTGACTCCACTTCCTAGTGATCCTGTCCCTGCTACACAGGCCTGCATGCCTGTGGTCCGTCTGTCCTGCCACAGCTCCCACAGCTCCCCCTTCGGGTCGCTCCAGCCACTACCGTTTGATGGGTCAGATTTGAAAGTCCTTGGGTCAGATGCCAGTTTCACGTGTGGCACCGCTGCCCACCAGCTGTGTGGCCATCATGGGGGTGCCCCACGGCAGGTGCTGGTGAGGGTCAAGGAAAGCTGGCCAGGCAGGCCTGGGAATGAGGGCTTAGTAAACCTGGGGTGCTTGGAAGCACTTTGTGAGAAACTGGTTATTTCCTCCAGCCGTTTAATTGTCCACCTTTTTGCTGTGCTTCGTCTTAACTGAATCAGTTGCTGGTTCCCAAAAATACTTGTCCTCTGGCATCTTTACAGTTTGGCAGCACAGAGCGTGTGGTGCTGTCCTCACAGGATGGGGGCAGCACCCTCCCTTCCCTCCCCTGTCTCTGTTTGCCAAACCCAGCGCTCCTTCAGGGGCATCTTAAATAGCACTCTATGCAGAAATTTGTTCCTAGAAATGAGCGATTTCTTTTACTTCTTGTATCAATCTAGCAATTTTCTAGTCTACTTATTTTTAAGTTTTTACTTTGGAATAATTTCAATCAACTGGAAGAGTTGCAAGAATAGTGCCAAGAATTCCTGCATGCCCCTCCAAACTTCACCTGTTATTAATATTTTGCCACATTTGTGTTATCATTTGCTCCCTTTTTAAAAACTACAGGTCATTTATTTTATAAAATTCAGGGTTGGTCTGATATTTCCTCACAAATAGATTTGGGTTTGTATTTTTGTCAGGAATACCATGGAAGTGACATTGGGTCGGTCATCTTTAGGACGCTGAGCCAGGAGGGATGCAGTGTGGTTTGGCCCCCACTGGATTGCTAAGTAGTCAAAAGGGGAGGGACACGTGGGTGGGTCAGTCCGAGAAGTGTCTGCCTTCGGCTCAGGTCATGATCCCAGGGTTCTGGGATCGAGTCCCACATCAGGCATCAGGCTCCCTGCTCAGCGGGGAGCCTGCTTCTCTCTCTGCTGCTCCCCCTGCTTGTGCTCTCTCTCTCTGGCAAATAAATAAATAAAATCTTTAAAAAAAAATCAGTATAAAAAAAGTAGGGGAATACTACAAAACTACATAAATATCCCCTTTCTCATCAAACTATGATTTTTTACTTTATCATTCATTAATAAATGTTCCTGAGTTTGTTGTGATTTCAAATGGTGATTTTCCTATGTGTATTAGTCGGCTTCCTATGTAAGGAAGACTTTCCTGTCTCCCCGGGTCATCCATGTGTCCATCATCAGTGTGGACTCACAAGTTCTTTTTTACTTGGTGAGTCATACTATCAGTTGTTTTGATGTTTAGATTATTGCAAATTTGGCCTCTGGAAATCTCTTCATGTTGGCTTGTGTCCATTTGCTGTGTTCCTAGGCCTCGTTTTTTGAGAACTTTTTGGTAGAAAAAGATGTTCAGCTTTCTCTTGTGTTTTCTCCTGCTCCAGCCCAGGAACCAGCTGCTCTTTTCTGTTTAATGGAGAGTGGTATTTAGAAACCAACATCTGGGTGCTGGGCGCTTGCTGCTAGTGAGCATCCCTGCCTCTAGGCTCCTGTTATGGTTGGACCTGCATATGAGTTTATCTTGGTCTGCGTCTGTTTATCTCTCTCTATGTCTATGCTGAGACCTACTCTTCCAGCCCGGCACCATGCTCTTCCTGGCTTGCGGCATCCTCGGTATACCCACCTCTGTAAAAGCCTGTGGAGAGGTCAGTGCTGGTTTGCATCTCTGTCCTTAAAACAAGGGCACACCGAGTGCTGTCTTCAGAGGTTTCTTGGGGCAGGATTTTCCCATCTTCACTGTGTGTTCATTTGGGGTACAGGTTCATTTGACTCTGTATATGATTTTAGGGTTTTTTTCCCATCTTGATTTAATTTTAGTTTTTGGAAACATTAAATGGTTCTAAAAGTCAAAAGTCATAGAAAAAGGTCACTGCCTTACCCACCCACTTCTGCTCTCCCTCTGTGGGTAATCTGTTCATGTCTAGTGTTCCCCTCTGGAATCATTTTATATACAAGCAGAGATGTATGTGATGTCTTAATTCGCCAATTTGCCGCCTTCAAAACATAGCCTGCCGTGTGCTTGTACTCTGCTTTCCTAAGGACATCAGGAGATGGTGTTCTGTCAGCTGATAGACACCTCCCTCGTTCCTCATACAGCTGCATCGTTCTCTTGTGCATGTGCTGGAGCTGTTCTGTCAATTTTCTGTTTGTGAGGTTAGGTAATTTTTTTTAATAGTTTGCAGTTACAGGTAATGCTGTGATGGAAACTGCATTTTACTGCCGGAGGTGTGCCTTCTGTCTCCCTACTGTTCTGTGAGCTTCTCAAGGTCACAGGTAACAAACATCTTTTTGTTCCACAAAGTGCAAGTGACACTTCTTGCTAATGTCAAGCTCTTTCAAGCTCTGTGCACATCTTCCTAAGATCTTGGGGCCGGGGGATGGGGGTTGAGCCGCCATCACCTGGTTGAGGACATCCTTGGCCACCCTGTCCATCCTTGTCCTGGCCCTTCAGGCTCTAGGCAGCGAGCATCATCCCATCCTGGCTGCATCTGCACCTTTGCTGTCCTGGGCTCTCCTTCCCAGTGGGGTAGCCTGGCCCTCCACACCCCTGCCCAGACGGCCTGCAAGCCTTCCTCTGTTCATCCGTCTTCATCAGTTGTGTTTGTTTTGCTTTCGCAGACTTGTCTTTTTCACATTGGGCTTTGCTGGGAGCACCCCGGTGGCATCTTCTAAGGAGAAGATCCAGAGCTTTTCTGAATGCACACAAGGCCACAGATCACTGCCCTGTCATCCCTCTACTGTGTTGGTTTCTGTATCAGTGAATTACACCATCAGGGCCTGTGAAGCCAGGACCATGGCTCAGAAACACGCTCTGTTTTTTAGGCCGCTGATTAAGAAGAAGTTGAGCCAGGGCGTCACCCTCGTTGTTGACAGATACGCATTTTCTGGTGTCGCCTTCACCAGCGCCAAGGAGGTGAGTGCCGCGTGGCCCCCGGTGGGAAGATGCGGCGTGTGGACCCAGGAGTGTGTGGAGTGTTAGGATTCTCCTCTGCTCGGTTAGTTTGCTGTGTATTGTAGGAAGAGCAGACGTTTCTGGAGCCGCAGCTTGTTGTCGGATAACTTGGACGTCCCCACCTCCCTTCCCAAGGTGGTCGCTCAGCAGCGCTCCTCCACTCAGTGTCTTGTTTTCAGAGCAGATGGTGCGTGTCTGGGCGACTTCTGTGTGGTTTCCTGGCCTCCCCGCGCCATGGAGCTGTCGTCTTAGGGGTAGAGTAGCTATGCTACCACTTCGTTTTGCTACTTACTTAGAAGTTTTCAAATATATACCAGCAGAGAAAACGATAAACCACTCGCACCGACACCTGTCTCAGAGCCTTCTGGTCTCTTCTCCAACCCATCAGACACATCACCGGCTCCTCCACGGACATTTCAGTTCACATCCCAAAAATGACTTCTTACAAGCATCATGTCGCCTCGGACAGCAGGTGTTTCGTGCCACCGTCACTCAGTCTGTGTGCAAAGTGGCCAGTGCGGTTAGAAACTGTTTGATGTGTCTTGTGTTTCTACAGTTAGACTGAATCAGAATCCATTTCAGGGCCATACTTGAAGGGTCTCTTAAATCTCTTTTAAAATACAGGTCCTTTTTTCTGTGCATTAAAATTTTTTAAAACTTTATTTTGGGGCAGCTACTTGAAGAAGCATTGGGTTCCCCTGTCAAGAGCTGCAGGGCATCTGGCTGTCTCGTTTGTGGTAATAGCCCTTGATGATGGTTCTTTCATGAGGCGTTGCAAAATGATAACCTTTTAATTCTGCCCGTCCTTCCTCGGGCGCTGGCTGGAATCCTTCTGAAAGGACACTTGCGCTATGAAGTATTGGTCAGTGGGATTCCATCTGTAGAGGAGGACAGGGAAAGTGACCGTCATGCCCCGGACTGGCTCCCTCACGTCCTCCTGATGTGCTCCTGCTGGGGAGCTGTGGGGGCTGACGGAATTCTCAATTTTTGGTATGTCGGACAGAGATTAGCTCATTTTCCCCCTTTTATGAATTTTGAAACTAAACATTAGACCCCATTAAGCCTTCTTTCTCTAACTGTTGGGTTCTGTGCTGCCAGAATTTTTCCCTGGATTGGTGCAAGCAGCCAGATGTGGGCCTCCCCAAGCCGGACCTGGTGGTGTTCCTTCAGTTACGGTTGGCTGAGGCTGCCATGCGGGGCGAGTTTGGCCGTGAACGCTACGAGAACGGGAACTTCCAGGAGCGGGCACTGCACCGCTTCCACCAGCTGATGGCGGATGAGACTTTGAACTGGAAGGTGAGGGTGTCTTCCACTGTCACCTCCTGAATGGCCAACTGGGAGCTGCCGGAACATGGCTCGGAGTCCTGCTACCGAGCAGAGATGTCGGCCGAGCACTGCTCCACCGGCAGAGCCTTGGGGCGCGCCCCTCAGGCGTAGCAAACCCTTTCCTTCGTGAGTGCAAAGCAGGGGAATTTGGGGCCTGGTGGGTGGATTGGGGAGAATTTGCCAGACAGCAGCTCCCAAACAGCAGTCCCACGTGGACAGCCGTCCTCCGCCGGGCTTTGCCAGGCTTGTCATCTAGAAAGCACAGCCCGTGAGTCACTGCTCACTTTGCCTTGCATCTGTAACCTACAAGTCGCACTCTGGCTCGTTGTGTCTGTCGCCCCCCCGCCCCCCGCAGTCTCCTCGAAAGTTGAGTTTGGCTGGTTTGGGGCTTAGCCCCCACCCCCTGGGAGTCATTTGCTGCCTCCCTCTCAACCCTGTCCTGCCAGTTCCAGCCCCAGGGCCGTTCCTCATTTCCTCTCGTGGGGATGAGCTCCTGTCTCCACGCTCACTCCCAAGCCTGGGCCTCACCCGCAGGCTCCCGTCCCCCCACATCACCACACTCTGCCGGCTCCCTGTCTCCCTTTGCTCGGTGCCCCGCAGCCCTGCTCTCTCCATCTAAGGGCACCTCACCCAGGGCCTGGCCCCAGTCCCAGGGGCCAGCCTCACATCTCCCTCCCTGAAGGACCATCCACTGTCCTCCCTGTGGACACCAAAGCTGGCCCCTTACCCCTTCCTCCCTGCAAGCACCCATCCCCAGACCCACCTCGTGTGAACACACCTGGTCGCCTGGGCCCACCTTTGTCCCCGTGTGGTCAGAGGCCGCCCCTGGCAACGAGCAAGCTGACATTGACAGCTGACAAGTCTCACTCCCGAGACAGGCTGCACTCTTGCTGCTCTGGGGAAGGTTTAAGGGTGTTGGCTTTGGCTCCTAGTTTGGCCGTCTTGTCTGCTTGATGCTTCTCCCACGACCTGCCTGTCTGCAGCCCTCCCCACTTCTCCACACTGACTTCTGCTTGCTCGTTGCCAGGGTGGGGGTTCCTCTGGGGGGCTCCTTTGTGGAGTAGGTTGCACACGTATTTTTAAAGTATGGGTTTCACCACTAGCTAAAAGTACAGCGTTCCTGTGAAACCTCTCATACGCGAAAATGGCATAAAGCAAAGAAGCAGTTACCATTAATTTATATGGAAATGTTTTTTAATGTTCTCAGACCCAAAAAACCACCTTTCCTAGGCTTTTGTGACGCATTTTGCTAACAGACGCACAAAATCAATGGAGTTGAAGCCCAGATGCACAGCTCAGATCTCGGCGGCTGGACGCCAACATGCCGAGAGAGGCTCCCGGGAAGGAGCTGCGGGGGGGGGGGGGGGGCTGCCCCCAGGATGGCTCGCTGCAGAACCCGCGCAGAATGCTTTTTTTTTTTTTTTTTTTTTTTGCTTTTTGCCTTTTTTTGTAAAAGCAGAAACACTTTCTGGATTTCCTTCGGTTAGCAAAAACAGGTACTAATATAAATCTTTCACAAAAGCAAAGTGGTGTAACACAAACTTTCACAAAGCAGGGGACTCCTGCGTACCCACGGCCTTTCCATTTGTTTCATGTGCTCACGCCAGTGCTGAGCCTACACGGCTTATCTCATGGTCTGAGAAGGGCATTTCTTTGCCCACATGGAAACTTCAATCCCATTTTGTACTGGTTGATTTTATCATACGAAAAATTGCAAAGTTCTGTTCCCTTTGTCGGTCAGTTCTCTGTGGCTTCAAACTGTTCTGGATTTACAACACATTTCAAACCCTGCAAGGGACAAGACAAGAAGGTATGGAATCAGGAATGGGAGTGGGGAAAGAAACAGGAACCGCTTCCTGCCGCCCGGTGCTGGCGCGCCCCGCCCCGAACCTCCCCACTTTTCATCTCATTTCACGTCCTTTAGCTCAAGAACGTCTTTTAACGTTTCCTGTAGGGTGGTGGGTCTCCTGGCATAGAACTCTCAGGTTTTGCTCAACTGAAAATTAACTTTTTTAACATTCTTTGAAAAAATTTTTAAACCATAAAAAAAAGTTACAACTTGCAAGTACAATACAAAAAAACTCTTCCCTGGGACCTTTGAGAACAAATTAGTCCCTAATGCCCCCTCCCTGCCATGGACTGTCAAAATTAGGACATTAACGCAGATCCCTTGCTACCCCCAGGTCCCCAGGCCCCGTTCAGGTTCCCCCGTTGGTCCCACTACTAGTGTTCTTCTTAACAAATGACCCAGTGTACAGTCCCATCGCTGGTCTCTAGCCTGTGTGACTTTCACAACACTGACACTTTTGAAGCTCATAGCATTTGATTTGTAGATGAGTCTCAGATGGACTTGGCTGTTTCCCCATGATGGGATTCACGTGCGTCTTTGGCAGGGCGGCCCAGGAGGGAGGCTGGGTGCTCACTGCATCCTGCCATGTGGGTAGGATTTCCATTTGTTCACTTCTTGGGATGTTCACTTTTCGGAGTATTGATTTTTATTTGCGTGCTGCTGACGCACACTTAAAGTGAGTTTCGGCGTGTAGTCGAGTGACTGGACAGGAGCGTACGTTACGCTGGGCTCGCCACACGTGTGGCCCCACCTGTCACCACACAACGCCATCGCGGGATCACTGACCGCGGTCCCCGTGCTGCCCCTTTCATCCCCAGGACGTACTCACTCCGTAACTGCAAGCAGCACCTCCCGCCCCTTCACCCCTTCTGTCCACCCTCCACCCCTCCCCGCTGTGCGTTTATGGGTCTGATTCTGCTCTTTGTGCGATTATTCACTTGCTTTGTGTGTTAGATTCCACGTGCAAGTGAAATCCTGCGGTATTCGTCCTGCTCTGTGTGACTTAGTTCCCGGAGCGGGACGCAGTCTCGGGCTCCCCGTGTTGTTGCCGATGGCAAGAGCTCATCCTTTTGTATGGCCGAGTGATGCCCCACTGTGTGTGTGCTGGCTCGGTGGGGTTTGCCAGGCTTCTCCACGGTCACGTCTCTCTCCCTGTGTAATTATTTTGTGATGAGATTCTTATAAACCATGTAAAAATCTCACAGCTCACCAGATTTTCAGTTTACCTGTACGTCTCTCTCTGTACGGATTTGTGTTTCTGTTTGACTCACCGCGGTCTGTCCTGCCCGCCCCGCCGCCCCAGCCGGCAGCTCGTTACCTCCTCGCGGGTCCCTGCGCTTCAGGACGCGTACTGCTCCCCCGCACATTAGTACTTCCGGGTTCATCCTGTACGCTTCCAGCCCCGCTCTGGAATCCGCTGCTTCCCCAGGCTTCCATGCTTCAGTCTTGTGGAGAAAGCTATTGTAAAGCCGTGGGCAGGGGCCCAGGTGCTTGTTGGCACGGTGCCGTCACTGCTCCCGAGCCCGCAGAGGACTGGAGATGTGGTTTCTACGGGATATGGCTGCGTGAGAGTTCGTACACAGCGTGTGCGAGTTTACATGTAACGCGTGTGCGTAGTACGCCCGTGTGCGAGTCCGTACGCGGGGTGCGTGTGCGTGTAGTACGCCCGTGTGCAAGTCTACGCGGGGTGCGTGTGTGTAGTACGCCCGTGTGCAAGTCTGTACGCGGGGTGCATGTGTAGTACGCTGAGTCCGTACGTGGGGTGCGTGTGCCTGTAGTACGCCCGTGTGCGAGTCTGTACGCGGGGTGCGTGTGCGTGTAGTACACCATGTGCGAGTCCGTACGCGGGGTGCGTGTGCGTGTAGTACGCCTGTGTGCGAGTCTGTATGAGGGGTGCGTGTGCATTTAGTACGCCCGTGTGCGAGTCTACGCGGGGTGCGTGTGCGTGTAATACGCCCGTGTGCGAGTCTACGCGGGGTGTGTGTCCGTAGTACGCCCGTGTGCGAGTCTACGTGGGGTGCGTGTGCATTTAGTACGCCCGTGTGCGAGTTTGTATGCGGGGTGTGTGTGTGTGTAGTACGTTGTGTGCGAGTCTGTATGCGGGGTGCGTGTGCGTGTAGTATGCCCGTGTGCGAGTCTGTACACGGGGTGCGTGTCCGTAGTACGCCCGTGTGCGAGTCTGTATGCAGGGTGCGTGTGCGTGTAGTACACCGTGTGCGAGTCCGTACGCGGGGTGCGTGTGCGTGTAGTACGCCTGTGTGCGAGTCTGTATGAGGGGTGCGTGTAGTACGCCCGTGTGCTTGTCCGTACGCGGGGTGCGTGTGCGTAGTACGCCCATGTGCGAGTCTACGCGGGGTGCGTGTGCGTGTAGTACGCCCGTGTGAGTCTGTATGCGGGGTGCATGTGCGTAGTACGCCCGTGTGCGAGTCTACGCGGGGTGCGTGTGCGTGTAATATGCCCGTGTGCGAGTCTGTACGCGGGGTGTGTGTCCGTAGTACGCCCGTGTGCGAGTCTACATGGGGTGCGTGTGCATTTAGTACGCCCGTGTGCGAGTTTGTATGCGGGGTGTGTGTGCGTGTAGTACATTGTGTGCGAGTCTGTATGCGGGGTGCGTGTGCGTGTAGTATGCCCGTGTGCGAGTCTGTACACGGGGTGCGTGTCCGTAGTACGCCCGTGTGCGAGTCTGTATGCAGGGTGCGTGTGCATGTAGTACACCGTGTGCGAGTCCGTACGCGGGGTGCGTGTGCGAGTCTGTACGCGGGGTGCGAGTCTGTATGAGGGGTGCGTGTAGTACGCCCGTGTGCGAGTCCGTACACGGGGTGCGTGTGCGTAGTACGCCCGTGTGCGAGTCTACGCGGGGTGCGTGTGCGTGTAGTACGCCCGTGTGAGTCTGTATGCGGGGTGCGTGTGCGTAGTATGCCCGTGTGCGAGTCTACGCGGGGTGCGTGTGCGTGTAGTACGCCCGTGTGAGTCTGTATGCGGGGTGCGTGTGCGTAGTACGCCCGTGTGCGAGTCTGTACGAGGGGTGCGTGTGTGTAGTACGCCCGTGTGCGAGTCCGTACGTGGGGTGCGTGTAGTACGCCCATGTGTGAGTCTGTACGTGGGGTGCGTGTCCGTAGTACGCCCGTGTGTGTCTGTATGCGGGGTGCGTGTGCATTTAGTACGCCCGTGTGCGAGTTTGTATGCGGGGTGTGTGTGCGTGTAGTACGTTGTGTGCGAGTCTGTACGCGGGGTGCGTGTGCGTGTAGTACGCCCGTGTGCGAGTCTGTACACGGGTGCGTGTCCGTAGTACGCCCGTGTGTGAGTCTACGTGGGGTGCGTGTGCATTTAGTACGCCCGTGTGCGAGTCTGTATGTGGGGTGTGTGTGCGTGTAGTACGCCCGTGTGCGAGTCTGTACGCGGGTTGCGTGTGCGTGTAGTACGCTGTGTGCGAGCGCACATGCAGTCCTGGGCTGTGCAGATCATTGTGAGCTGAGCGCTCAGACCTCACGGAACAGTCACATACGTGTGTGAGCGAGTCTGCACCCCCCGCAGCTCCTCCAGAATTGGCTGCTCCAAAGGCCCCCTCAGGGCCGAGCCTGGACCGGCAGTGAGACAGGGCACCCCCCTGAGCACACAGAAGCTTCTGTCCAGCTTGGTCCCCCTTGCTTCGGGCGGAGAGCAGTTTCTCGGGTGGCTGGCTCCCTTAGTGACTGGAGGTCCTCACGCCTTTCACGTGAGGGCACAGCATTCACACATCGAGGGGGAGAGCGGCCCGGCTGGGTCAGGACAAAACCATCTTCCCCGGGAGGAAGGGATTCAGACCCAGGGTTGGCTTCTGTGTGGAACTTCCTTGAGCTCCGAGCAGCATCCAGGCATGGCCTGGGGGAGGGGCGGGGGCTCTCCCTGCGGAAATCGGAGCTCCACCGGCCAGGGTGGCGAGGGCGCCTCACTGACGCGCACGCCGGCTCGAGCTGGGGGAGGGTGAGGGTCTGATCAGGAGCAAGACTGGGCCACAGCAGGAGCCTGGGTGGCTTCATCCCAAGGACACAGGCAGAGGCCACCCTCCCCAGCCAAGGGCAAAGGTCAGACAAAGGTGTAGGATGAAGAACCCAAATGTGTACTGTACCCTTCTAGAACCCAGCCCCGTCTGAAATCACCACACACTGAGAACAGTGACGAGCGTTAACGGTTCTCTTTTCCTCCTGCCTCCCCCCGTGGGGACAGATGGTCGACGCTTCCAAAAGCATCGAAGATGTCCACAAGGAAATCCACGCCCTCTGTGTGTACACCATCCAGGCTGCCGCGCAGAGGCCGCTGGGGGAGCTGTGGAAGTAGCCATGCCACGCCCCCTCCTGTGGTCCTGCGAGGCCGAGCTGGGGGTACGTGGATGCCCGGACGACGTGCTCACGGAGCAGGACGCAGAGACAAGCAGCTGCGGGTCAGCCCCCAGGAGCCCGTGGGGCGTGCTGTGGTGCCGCTGTCCTCGGTCCTCTCACCCCCAAGATACCAGCAAATTACTGTGTTTTGTGCTTTCGTACGGGAATTTAACACACAGGCAGGCAGTTTCAGTGAAATGGCAGTCAGTTAAAATTCTCCCGAATTTCTTACAGGCACTAATAAAAATTCATTTGAAAAGATACTGCAGAAGCTCTCGCTTTCCTTAGCCGCCGTGGGCTTGATGGAGCGTTCTTCCCAGTGGGCGAGGGCTGTGTCCCCGGGGCACGGGGGCCTGTCCAGTCTCAATGCTGCAGACGCAGGCTCGGCCGCTCGCTGTTGTCAGTCTGCCCCATTTGAAGCTGCTCGGGGTGCTCTGTTGACTTCTGGGAGAATCCGGAGCGGAGAGCAGTGCAGAGTGCTGGACGGAGGGCAGGCAGGGATCCCCCCGTCCACTCAGTGGGTCTGGGTCCCCCCACCTGGAGGGGCAGCTGCCTTCTGTGGCTGGGATGGGATCTCTGTGTGAACACCAAGTGGTGACCCGGCGATCCCGACGGGGCCCGGGCAGAGCCTGCGTGCGGCCACAAGGGTCCGTGCTTATCTGGGTTCCTTGTCTGTGGTCACTGGGCAGCCGGCCCTCGGTCCCAGTCCTTGGGTGGCACCTCAGAAGGGGGCAAAGGATGTGACAGGTGAGTGTGGCTGGTGGCTGTGAGGCCACAAGGGGACAGTCGTGGAGATGCAGTTCTGTGTCATCTGCCTACAGAGGGGACTCCAGCAGCTCCTGCGGCCCTGCTGACAGCCGGGCGTCGGCTGTGCGCGGCCGTGCATCTGAAGCGTCTGCTTACGTGCACCCAGACCGGGCAGCACACGTGTGGTCAGGGCCCGAGGACCCGCCACGGAGAGACAGAAGCCATCAGAACTGCAAACGGGGTTCGACTAGAGCCCCGGGGTCACCCACGGGGACGGTCCGACGGCACTGTCCGTAGCTGCCTTCGTGCTTCTTCACACAACCGAGGCCATGCACCCTGTGAGGAAAACGCGAGTCAGCCTGAAGTCCTAAGACCCCAAACCAGCCTCTCTGCCTCTCGCAGCCTCATCAGGGCTGCTGGGGGGGGGGGGGGCGGCGCGAGCGAGCTGGGGCTGTGGGGACAGAGGTGGAAGGAACCTCCTCGGGAGGAACAGCCAGAGCAGAGAGGGTCCTGCGCGTGGGGGGCAGGGGGGCTGGGACGGGGGCAGAAACGGTCCAACACTTAAACTTTCTTCAGGAAATACAGCATGTGTCTTGAGACATCTGGCAGGCCGGCCAATGGGGGCAGGGGGTGGGCGGGGAGGGTTACGGGCTGTGACACGGTCCAGAGCCCCCGGCTCCAGTGGCTTTTGCACGGGCGTGGGCAGAGTGATGGTCCCCGAAGATGGACACGCGGTCCTCCTGGAGCCTGGGGACAGGGCACCTGCACAGCAAGGTGGAGAGGAGAGGCCATCCCGCCTCGTCCGGGGAGGCCCAAGACGCAGCCACAGGGTCTCTGGCAGGGAGGCAGGAGCCCAAGTCAGGGGACACGGGGGGGCAGCAGGATGGGTCAGAGGGCACTCAAGGTGGAAGGAGGGCCATGCACCCAGGGAACGCGGGCAGCTTCCAAAAGGGGGGGAAGAGAGGTAAACCTTGTCCCCTGGAGTCTCCAGGAGGAAACGGCCCCGTAGAGGCCTTGACTTGGAGCCCTGGCCTCCGGGATCCTGGCAGGAAGGCTCTGGCTTGAAGCTGCGGGGTGTGGAGGACGGTTCCAACACAAGAAGGTCCTGCGGGCATTTTCTAGAGGCCATGATGCAGGTGGACTTCCTCAGCTGGGGATCAGCTCAGTGCTTCCCACTTGTCTGCCCTGGGCCCCTCGCAGCAGCGCCGGAGGGTGAGGGGCACCGCCGACCGTCCCACCACGGCCTTGCCCATGTCCTGCGTGCGCCTGCCCACAGCTAGCAGTCTTAGCCCACCTGGAGGGACGCTGCTTTCATGAAGCAAACTAAGGCTAACACCGCGCTGGGGACGCTTTCTACAAAGCTTCTTGTTGAAGGAGCTACTGTGCGTTCTCCCAAAAGCAGGTTCCCTTGTGGTTTTCACTTCTGGGACCACGAGGCCGAGGACAGCATCCCCACTTGCAGGCTGGGTGGGACGCGGGACGGGTCTGGGGCGATGAGCGGGCCACAGCCGCCCGCCAGACCCCACCCCAGAGCACCCCCCTCCGTGGCAGCAGGAGCCTAGGCAACGTTCCTGCTCCGTCTTCCCACATCCACCTAGAACGTGAGGAGAAATCAAGACACAGACAACCAAGTGTTTTCTACTGAAACTGTTATTTGCCATTAAGAATTGCAAACTACACTACAAAGAATGAACAACATTCTCTTCAGTAAGCCTTTTTCAAAACACATGAAACAAAGCTCCCCGTGGGTCAGGCCGTCGCCCACGTCCCCAGTTTGTACCAGCTGCAGGGGCTGCCGACAGCCCCCCCCCACCCCGCCCCCAGCGCGGCGGCACATTTGTTCGTTCAGAGAAGTGCAGCGCTGGAGGAGTGGACACCAGCCAACCTTCCCTGCTCCCCCAATTCGACCTCACAGACGGGGTGCAGGGAACAGAAGGGAAAAAAGAAAATCGCTTATGTGGGCAACACGTGGGCCAGCAGGACGAGCAGGCCCGGGGCACACGCGTGCTCCAGCCCCGCCCGCCCAAGCAAGGACTTGGAGGCGGCTGCGAGTGGAGGCGCTCTGGGAGAGGCCATCGTCTCCACCCGAGCCCCCCAGAGCCCCTTCACGCTTCCGGTGGGACAGAAGCCAGTCTTCCAGGACGGACGGCAAACCCGGGTGGGAGTGGCGCAGTTTGGGCCCCGAGTACATGGGCTAAAGGCCGCAGGTGCTGACGTTAGTGCTGACAAGGGTCTGGAAACGTCTCTGACTGGTACACAGAGGGACGGGGGCGCCGGGCTCACGCGTCAAGCTGTGGGCTTTACCCTCTGGCCCCAAACCACCTAAAGCCTTGGTGACCGGGAGGAAGGCTCTGGATGGCAGCGTGCCGTGCCCCCTCCCCCCAGGCCTGAAGGCCACAGACCCCCGACCCAGGGGAAGCTGGCAAGACAAGAGAGCGGCAGCATGTGGGGCCCACAAAGGAGGCGTGAGAAAGGCGCATCCCACTCGGGCTCTACCTGCGGCTCCGGGAGAGCAGGCATGTCCCTGTCCCAGCGAGTCACACGCACGCTCGGTGACATCTTTGGATTTCCACCATGCCCACCACTTCACTACTTTGCTCCCCAAAGCAAGGACAAACCTTGCCGGAATTCTTTCAGTCTGATCCCCCACTGAGGTAGCCCTTGACAAGCACGCCGGGCGGAGGCCGTGGAGGGCAGGGCCCAGGCCGAGTCCGCAGGCGGCACTCCGCACACGCCCACCCCCGCCCCGCAAGTCGTCGGAGAAGACGGACTCGGGACACGCCCCACAGAAATGCATGTCCTTGTAGCTTCGAACAAGTAAACCCAGAACCGAGCGCCCAGGAGGAAGCAGGGCAGAGGCGGGTGCAGGGCTGGCAGTGTCGCAGGGAGAGCTCTGGGAAGTGTGGAAGGCTCTGCTCTCAGGAGCTCCTGACGGGCTGCGCGGGGCTTCCCGCAGGCGGCTCCTCCTTTGTGCCCGGGAGCCCGACGAGCCCTCCAGGCCTGCGCAGCCCCGGGGCTCGCAGGAAGGCCTCCGGGACAGGGCAGTCCTCCGTCTGCGGGCGGAGGCGGCACGGGGCTCGGGCATTCAGCGGACGGGCAGGCTGGATGGATGAAATGCGGCGGCACCAAGCACCCCGAAGCAGGGCCGGGCTCTCGAAGGTGCCCCCAGGGAGGGCCAGTGGATACCGTCCCCCAACTCCAGGATTTTCAGAGAGACAAGATTTCAAAGTCTTCATCTTCTGAATCAAAGAATCTTTCCAGGCGCTCTGCATCAGAAGAATCTAGAAGAAACAAGACCCCACCTCACCAGACGCCCGGTGCGGGGTGTCCGGCTGTGGGGACCGCCCCCCACACCCTGCATCTGGCCCTCGGGACAGCAAGAGGCGGGACACCAGGACCAGCCCGCTGGGGCATCGGCCTCCCGGGCTGTGGGTGTCAGCAGGCCGGGAGCTTCAACGGGCGAGGGGAGGGCGGGGAAGAGAATCCCACAGGCGCGTCTGAATAGAGAACACGCTTCTCGGAGGAGCCCAGAGGGAAGGGGCAGGGGCTGGGAGGGCAGGGCTTCCCGTCCCAAGAGGGGGTGGCACCCCCTGTACCGTCTGGGGACTGAGGGGACGTCTGTCCCGAGTCTCCAATGCGGCACCCTGACTCCCTTCTGGTTTCTGTCAAGACAGTGGCTCAGTCACCATCCTCCATGATCTTCTCGGAGGGACAGGGACACGGGCCTCATCATCGTCCCAGAGACAGATGGATGCATGAACTGCATGTGCTCACGCCTTCCTGCTGAGTCCCGGTTCTGTGTGTGCCACACGTTGACTCACTTCAGGGAAACTGAGGGCCTGAGCGAGGGAGGAGGCCCTGGGCCTAGAGCCACTGAGCAGCAGGACACGGAGCCCACCTGTGGCCTGCCATCCCAGGGCTGGCTCCTGTGCCGGACCTCGCAGAGACCCTGGGCTGTTGTGGAGAGCCTAGCACGTCCTGGCTCGCAGGGGCCAAGGCGGCCACAGGAGGAGCACACTCGGCTCCGTGCTCGGGGGCCAGGTTATGGCGCACGAGGTGAAGGACAAGGCAGCAGACTGTGGCGCTGCCCACTCGGGGCCCCGCACAGGCTGTCCGGCAGCACCCCGGTCCCACACACACACCACCAAGGGGTCACCGCCTGGGCTCATACGATTTTTTTTTTTTTTTTTTTTTAAGATTTTATTTATTTATTTGACAGAGAGAGGCACAGCGAGAGAGGGAACCCAAGCAGGGGGAGTGGGAGAGGGAGAAGCAGGCTTCCCGCGGAGCAGGGAGCCCGGTGCGGGGCTCGATCCCAGGACCCTGGAATCACGACCTGAGCCGAAGGCAGACGCCCAACAACTGAGCCACCCAGGCGCCCCTGGGCTCATACAAATCTTAAAGGTCAGAAGCAATTGGCACAGAGCCTGAGGGAAGCAGAGAGATAGGACAGAACACGCGGAACAGCCGTGCCCCGACCCGAGACGAGACGAGGCCCTGTGGCCACCAGACTC